AAACCCAACCAAACAAAAAGTCATGGTAAGTGAGGTAGATGCCACCCTTTAAGTAACACTTCTGGAAACAGTCTCAGAGATCAATAACTCACCCAAGGCATGCAGCTACCAGCTGATGAGCTGGGACTCACCCCCACACCCTAGTCTGCCCATATATTGTGTGCATTCCCTGGTGTGGCAGAATAAACCACGGGGCTCTTTGAATTGTGTGGCACACAGCATCCCTGAGTTGATTCTGACATAAGGTAAACAGTCCCCCAAAGTCATCCATAACCTACTCCCCCTAATCTATGACCCTGCTACCTTTCTTGGCAAAAGGAGTTCAGAAATACGATGAAGGATTGTGAGATGAAATATTTTATTCTGACTAGTCTTGACAAGATGGGGGGGGCGGCAGGGGAGGATGTGATCGTGGATGCAGAGATGGGAGGGGGAAATGGAAGGAGGGAGGAGGAGCCATGAATCATGCATGAGGCACTCTACCTGCAGGGGACTCTGGATGTTTATGACATATAGGCTGTGTTGTGTGGCCTAGCTCCAGCTTCTCAAAGAACAGTAAACATCTGTTTAAAAGGAAATCACTTCCCCTAGGATTAGGTAGCACTTGAAATCCTGACTTTGAAGTTCTCGGAACAACTTGCCTCAGCCCCAGTCTCTGCCAGTCCGCTGACTGCTGGTCTCCCTCTAGGGCCTTCACGAGAAGCCCTGCTTCAGGACCGTGAGCCCCTCACTCACCTAGCTTCCCTTGTCCCTGCCAGGGAACTTACAGATCCCACATCATCCACAGAGGCAGGATTCCCTCTGTAGAATTTCCCCAGGAACCAGCAGGTGTTGGAATCTCCACCAAGACTAGGGTTTCTGCCACAGGTTGTGAGGGACATTTTTACTTTAGATGAGTCCCATTCTTATGTAAGGAAGGAACTTTCTGAGATTCAGAGGCTTTATTTCTGAGAACTATAAAGATCTCTTACTGCCTGACTGTTAGTGTCTGAGGGTAGTTTCTGTGGGTCAGGAACTCAGCAGGACACAGTAGAGATTGTGAATCTGTGCTCTGTGATGGCTGGGTCATAGCTAGGAACTTGACAATCTTTGGGATGGCCAGGGCTGGTGGGGCTCACTCATGTGGCCGGTAAATTATGCTGACAGATTGGTTTTTCCCACATCAGTCTCTTATGTAGATTTTTTTTTTCCTTTTGTGCCAGTAATGGGGCTTGAACTCAGGGACTGAACACTACCCCTTAGCTATTTTTTTATGTTTTTTTGCTCAAGATTGGTGCTCTACCACTTGAGCCATACCTCCACTTCTGGTTTTTTGGTAATTAATTGGAGATAAAAGTCTCACAGACTTTCCTGTTCAAGCTGCTTCAAATCTCCACCCTCAGACCTCAGCCTCCTGAGTAGCTAGGATTATAAACATGAGCCACCCACATCTGGTTCTCTCACCATAATGGCCATATTCCACCAGAGCAAGAATTCCAGGAGACCTAGGAAATGGTCGTGACTTTTATGACTAACCCGTCAGAATCACACACTCAGTCTGATCATATGCTGTTGGTCACAGAGGTCAGTTCTGATCCCACATGGGAGGAGAGTATAAGAGAATGAAGACAGCTGAGGGCTCTTTTAGAGTCTGACTAACATAATCTACCCTCTGGCCCTCCATTCATTTTGTCCCTACAGCATAACATAATTCTAAAATGACTCCCCAAACTGGAGGAAATGGAATATACAGATTTGTCTCTGACAGAAGTTACTATGAAAATCATTAGGGCAAGTTTGTATATTAGGCCTTCTGGACTCATACTTTTTTATTTTTATTTATTTATTTATTTATTTATGCAGCTACTCAGTATCAGTACAGGTGCTTGAACTCAGGGCCTGTGTGCTGTCTCTTAGCTTTCTTTATTCAAGGCTGGCATTCTATCACTTGAGCCATAGCTCTATTTCTGGCTTTTTGCTGGTTACTTTGAGATAAGAATCTCACAGACTTTCCTGTCTAGTCTGGCTTTAAACCAAAATCCTCGTTTTTCAATGCTAGGAGTCAAAATGCGATGTTACAAATGCTAAGAAAACTGCCTCTCTCTAAGCCATATTCCCAGCCCCCCAATTCACTGTCCTTGACATTTCCATGAGCTTTAAATCAATGTACACAGTTGTATAATCACCCACACCATCAACACATTCCCATTGCTACAAAGTATCCTCTGTCCTTGCACTCAAAGCACAGGTGTCTATTTCCTGTTCCCAGTTTTGCCTTCAATCATGTTATATACATGGGGTCAAGATGTAGCCTTGGAGTCTGGCTTCTTCCACTTAACAGAAGTTATTTAGGAAATATCCATAGCAGTGTCTCAAAGTACATTCCTTTTCATTACTAAATAGAATTCTTGGTTTCTCCTCCCTCAGTGGAGGGAGGATTGAGTTACTTCTAGTTTTTGCAAAGGTGAGGAAGCTTCTGCACTTCATACAGATTTGTATGAACACAAGTTTTTAGTACAGTGGATAAATTCTTAAGTCTGGGAGTAAGTGTATGCTGATTTTACAACAGCCACAGGCTGGTCAGTAGCTCACACCTATAATCCTAGCTACTTAAGAGGTTGAGATTTGAGGACCGCAGTTGGAAGTCATCTCAGGCAGGAAAAACGGTGAGACTCTTATTTCCAACTAATCACTAAAAAGCTGGAGCCATGGTTCAAGTGGTAGAGTACCAGCCATGTGTAAAAAAGCTAAGGGACAATATCCAAGCCCTGAGTTCAAGCCCCAGTACTGGCACAAAAAGAAAATTGAGTTTTGAGAGTTTTTTTGTATTTTATAGATGCAATTCCTTTTTTTTCTAGGCTTATCTTTTCATTAACTTAACACTAAAAACTTTATTCATGTAATTGGTAAATAAAAATGGTATCTATTTGCTATGTGCAATCTGTTGTTTGAAAATACATTCATATATATACATACATATGTTTGTAATGAGATGGTTAAATTGAAGCAATTAATATTGTTAGTTCCCATACTTATTTGTGTAGGGGGGGGGATTAGGACACTTTAAATTTGTTCTCTTAGTAACTTTTTTTTTTTTGGTGGGTCGTGGGGCTTGAACTCTGGGCTTGGGTGCTTGCTGTCCCCAGCGCTCTTCAGCTCAAGGCCAGCACTCTACTGCTTGAGCCACAGCACTACTTCCGGTTTTCTAATGGTTTATTGGAGATAAGAGTCTCACAGACTTTCCTGCCCGGGCTGGCTTTGAACCTGGCTGTTTTGGAACTGAGATCCTCAGATCTCAGCCTCCTAAGAAGCTAGGATTACAGGCACGAGCCACAGGCACCTGGGTTCTCTTAGTAATTTTTAAGGTCTTAACATGTCTTTTGAAGAGCAGAGTATTAATTTTCACCAGTCCAAAATATCATTTTTAAAAATGGATCATGCTTATCGCGCCAGTCCCAAGCCCTCTTTGCCTAACATAGATAGAGCCACAAACATTTTCTCAATTTTTAAAAATAAGTGTCGTGATTTATATTTTCTATTTAGGTCAACAATGTTTTAAAATTCTCATTTGAAGAGGATGTGAGGTGAACATCCCTATTAGTCAGACTTTTTGTCACTGTGACAAATTCTTAAAATAAAAGCAATTTAACGGGAAGAAACATTAATTTTTGGCACAGTTTCAAGAAGTTGCAGTCCTAGGTTGGCTCACTCCATGGTTCTCGGCCAGTGGGAAAGCTGAACATCATCGCAGAAGGGCATGACAGAGGAAAAATGAGGTCCCTCCATGTGACCAGGAAGTAAAGAAAGAAAGGGATTGGGGGCAAGATAACACCCTTCAAAGGCATGCCCTCTGTGACCCACTTCCTCCACGCAGGCTCCGCCTCCTGAGCCGGTGGACACACTTCCTATTCAAGTAAGAACAGAACCAGGTTTGTTTCCTGGCCTGTTAAAGTGAATGGATGGTTTAGAGGAGGGTGCAGTAGAGTTAAACATTCTCTGTGTTTGGACAAAGGTATAATGATGTGTACCACATCATTACCATCCCATTTGGGATAGTTTCCCTGACCCCTAAAGATCTTCCGGCTCCTACCTGTCAACCACTAATTATGTCCTAGGCTTCTAATTAATACAGTCTTCTTTTCTAAGATGTGTGTGCAATAGTTTCCCTGGCTTGAAAGTTCTGCCATTCCTAAGTAACTTTCCTCAGCTCCTTACAAGGCTCACTCTACAGCTGAGCTCTAAGGGAACATCCATGTATCAGATACTCTGAAGTATGGCCCAGGTGGGGTTCAAGGAACGAGAGTCCGGACAGTGTCTTCCTCTGGGAAGGAGGGATGGCTCCTCTGGCTTTGGCCTTGTGGCTGGAGTACTTCAGCATACATCCCTGGAGGTGTAGAAAACAGGGCTGGCAATTGGGTCCCCGGAGGTGATGGGCGAGATTGCAGGATGCCTGCCTTTGGATACAGCAATGTGGAGGAGTCTCCATGTAACGGTGTCATATTTAAGACGCAAAGATTCGATCCAGTTTTAGTGTACAAGATTTAATCTAGCAGGGCCTAGGGTAATCTACCCTGTGTGGCTGCATGGGGCAAATTTGGGACAAGAGCAGATTCTCTTGATACTGAAATTATCACCCGCGTGTAAAGTGGAGGACAAACTCCTCCTTGAAGTCTCTCGCTTACAACGCAAGGCACAGACCTTAGCTGGAAGCCTTGCAGAGAAGCCTGGTTTTGAGAGCCCTGCACGCTTCATGAATCAGGGGTTCGGTTCAGATTGCAGAATCGAGCTAAACGACGTGGACTGGGAAGTGTTTACTTATCGCTGATGGCGCGGTGGGGACGCTCCAAGCCCGCAAGCAGGTCCAGGCCAGGGGGTGTGAGTGGG